TATTTATGTTGTTTGACTTAAACCAGGCATCATTTTATAATCTGGCTTTTGTTTTTCTTTTCAGATTCTGGAAAACCTCACGACAGCATCACTGTCATTGTCATTGTGCTTGTTACCATTACAGTTCTCTGTATTATTGCAGTCTCTGCAGTTCGTTATTGTCGAAAGAGAAGAACATGTAAGTCCAAGTGTGCATTGTAACATAGAATGTTAAAAATCTATAAAATCCTATTTGTTTACTGCACAGCCTTCTAGTGATCTTAGAAGTTGGTGCGATCTTTATGGTTTAGCCCATTCACTCTTAGCATCCGCAGGCCAGATTTCAGGTGAGATTCCAAGGGGAAGGAAATGGGTTATCTGTGCACATTGCTGGTTGTCAAAGCACATTTTTTGATACAAGCTATTCCTAGAACTATCAATCAGTATCAATGTTGCAAGCTTTAAATCCAAAATCTGGACTCTCAAAATGAAACGTAAATTAAAGCAACATGTATTTTTTATGACCTGCAGATAAAATAAAGAACACCAAAAATATAGAGGTAAGTGTCAAGTTTTGAAACTGGATTTGAGGAAACAGGCCAAATAAAGAAATGTTTTCAGAATCAAAAGCTGGAGCCTCACATACTTCTATTGGCTACCCCTGTCCCACCCTCCAGTCACATACATTTTCCTGACAAGGTGGTAATATTACTGTACATGACCTGTGACTTCCCTCGCTACTAAACTTCTGCATCTACCTGCTGTTCCAGGTCGTGTTGCTTTCTAGATGCACACGTCACTGGTTGTGCTGCCTTCCTTGTGCTCAAATGTCCTGCTTCTGACCGAATAAACCTGATGAGCACCATCCACCAACTGCAATGTGTTTCTTATTCGCTCAGTGTTGTTTGCTTGTGTTTTATTAGTTTTATAGTTTTTGATGCAGTTTTAGAAACAAAAGCTAAATTTCTGAGAATACTGTAAGTTACACACACACACACTAAAACAGGAAAAACATGTTCCAAAAGGGGACGAGCGAGGTGACTTCATACTGAGCCACAAATGTTGTACTTCTGCATATTCTTACACAGTGAATGTTGAGAATATTGTGAGCAGAAGACTCTTTTGTGAAATCTGCACTCAAGAATGGAAAATGTGTAATTTCCTTACATTTTCCATCTTTTCATAAATGCAACGTACTGCATGTGTTGTCAAAGCCGTGTGAATGCTTTCTTTATTTGCTTGAGTTCTAGTTGCAGTGTGTTGTAACTGTCACCTCGTGAAACAATGTTCAGTGCCTTACTGCTCTTGATGAAAAATGCCTAAAAATGTGTTTTACAGCTGTTTCATGCATTTTAGATAAAATCACAAATTGATTATATATGAAAATCATTCTTCTCACTTTTGTTGCCAATTATACATTTTGTCGTTTTTGATGGATATCTGTTAATAGTGAGATTACTTCACATGTTTATGCAGTATAACAACACCATTAGAAATACAGTGTAAAGTAAAAATAGCAACAACAACAACCTTTACCTTAACCTTTAAAAATGTTGTATGTTATGTATTTTGCAGATGGAAGCTGTGGCCCAGCCTCCAAATCCAACTAATGATGCTTCAGATCCTTCTTCACTGCCCTCCTTGGTGGGAACTCACACTGGACCCACTGAGACTATAGGCAACTCTTTACCAGAGAGCTAGTATGCTCAGATAGAAAAGACTGCCAGGTCCTGAAACAGTTTTCACCACCTTCACACCTTGTACAGTATGTAATATAGTTTACATACAGAGAGTTGAAAAATAATTTAAATAATTTTCTGTTAGGGTTATGCAGAATTACTTGAATACTTTATTGTTTCTAAAAACAGACTTCAACTGAAAATCATTTTAAATGATTTAAAATCAAATTTAAACCATTTAAAATCAAATGCTATATCCTTGTAGAGTTGAAAAACATTTCAATAATTATTCCATTAAGTTCAGTTCATAATTGTTATTCTTTTGTTGTTGTGTATTCAGTGTATGATGACTCTAACGAGCTCTGATCGATTTCTTGCTGAGAAACTCATAATATAAGATTTAGATTGGATTAAACTTTATTGTCATTGTCACTGCGTACAAGTACTGAGACAATGAAATGCAGTTTAGCAGTATAAAGTAAGTAAAAAGAGATCAGTCTCACAAGATCTTTTGGCTTCATTAATTCATAAAAGATAATTATACAGCTTTAACTCATGTCCAATAATGGTGTATGTACCAGAAGGTGCTTTGCTTAGTTAAAGAAAAA